CTACAAATGCTATCACCTTATAGAGTATCTCCTTCTCGCTATCCTAGAAAAGAAATGGGAAATTTCAGGCATTATTTAAGGTTGCAGATTGCTTTTTTAGTGCCTATTTAATTCCAAACACCTTGCAGAAAGAAGGCCTGTCTATTTCCAGCAGATTCTCTTTGGTTTGCACTTCCACCCGGAAAATTTGGAATATGTCTTTGATCTTTTTTATGCTCTAATGGACAATGCCGAAGACTCTCACTAAGTTGATGCAATGCTGGATCAGTAAGCTTTAGAAAGAGCCTAAACCATTATGCAAGACCATCCCCCCTTGCATCTGGTGGGTATCTTTAGGGAAAGGAATTCTGGAATGTGTGAGGGCAATAGGAATGTGTAGTAAAGCAAAGGTACAAATTCGAATAGCTTTTTGGTGTTGGATGACGTCCACATATTGTAGAGCCTCTTCTAGATCTCTGCAATTCCCGGAGCAGCTCGTTCTTACATCATCAGCGATGTGCAACTCCAGCACTTTAGTGCTGATATACATCATAAAGTCTTTGCTTATCACAAAAAAGGAGAGAAAATAGAACCATTTTATGTAATCTAAAAGCAGAAAAGGGCAAGTTTTCGAAGGAATAATTATCCGTTTTGGCTGAATGAAGGATAACTTGAACCATTACTACCTTACTAAAAAAAGGAAAAAAGAAAAGGAGAAACTTGAACGATTTTCTATCAGAAAAACCATGTTCTCTATTATATATTCTCGGTTATGTAGTCTTTAGCTGTTATGCTGACATAGGCTCTTGGTCATCACGTACTAATATGATGCACTTATATAAAAATATTCATTGTTTTACTTTTTACTTACCTTTGGGTGCTTTTTTCTATTCTACGTGCCTTTTTCCCCCAACTATCTTGCTTCTTCCTCTGTGTTTCCATTTTGAGATAACTAGTCTCCTTAAATGTCACTCTTTGCATTTTTCCTTTTCCCTCTCTTTTTCTCTTTTTTTTTTTTGGGGGGG